CGCATACAAACATGACTTACCTTGATAAATCCTTAAACATTTAATCAAAATGCAGACCAAAAAAGAATTGCCCCAAACAAACAAACCCTAATTTCGCTTCAATCACGCATAATTTTCAAAAACTCAACATTGCTCCCCACTTCTAGGGTTTCCAGAGTAGAAGCAGAACAACTCAAAAGGTAAAGCAATAATCACCTGAATTACGAAATTAATAAGCTAGGACACGGCTTTGAGACAATTAGTGACGACCTAATTGCACACTCTCTCTCCTAGGGTTTTTTATTTTTTTGGAAATCACAAAAAGGAAATGAAATTTGCCCTAAAAGATAACAACTCGTTGGAAATGTTAGCCATGAGAGCGAGCGATTCTGCTTCAAGAATCTCTCTGTCTATAAATCTGTTCTCTCTGCTGTTTTTTTCTCGGTTTAATTTTTTATTTTTTTCTTCGTATTTATGTGTGTGCTTGTTTTTTTCTTTTCGAAATCGAAGGGGGTACTATGCGAGACCTCTCCCTCTCTCCCTCTGCGCGTAGTAGTGGGCTTGGGTTCTACGTCACATGAAGAAGAAGACGAGAACATGGGCCTTTTCGTATTCATTGTTGGGCTTTTATATAATTGTTTCAACTTTTTAATTCGAGCAAATTTATATTCTTTATGGACTTGATATATTTTTAAAATGATTTTTTAAAAATATCAATTTAAAACCGGATTTCAAAAAATTATAAAAAATATGTTTTTAAATAATATGTCTATCCTTGGATATAATTTTTTGGCATAATTTTCAGTAATAAAATTATATTATCGAAAATAAATTATCTTAAAGGGTCATGTTTATCAATTAACTTTAAATAGATGTTAAAAAATGGTATAATTGAATTATGTCATTATTTTTCTGATTTATCATACATATTGAATTCAGCCTATTCGGTGGATCAATTATAATAATATGGTTTACTTTGATAAATACATTGAGATTTGTTTGGATCAATTTCAAAAATAAATTACAACGATATTATTTTAAATAAAATAATTAATTCAAATTAATCTGATAACCTATGAGCAAATCCGATGACTTATACCTTCAATTAAGTTTGACAATTATAATTAGTATCCTATAGTTAAATTAAAAAAAAAACATGGACATTACAGGGGGCATCATGGTTTAGTGAGTGTACTTTTCAAAATGTTTTTAATATTAAGAAAATATTAAATTAATTTTTTGGACGGTTCTATTGTGTAAAAAATAAAAAATAAAAAACATTATTTTAATAAAATTTTAATTAAAAAATATTTTTTAAAATTAATATCGACTACAATACAATACACTCCCATGGTACCATTAAACAACTCAACATCTTATGCACAAGTGCTAGATATATAATTTTTAACAAATCATAAACTCTTGGCTTTATAAACTAAATAAAGATTTATTTTGAAATGTAGTTATAATTGCTTTTTAAATAATTTTTTGTGTTAAAATACTGTTTTATTTTTTAAAAATTATTTTTAATATTAGTACATCAAAATAATTTAAAAATATTAAAAACATATTAATTTAAAATTAATAAAAATTTAAATTTTTTTAAAAATATTTTTAAAACATTGAAACAAGACGTAAATCATTTATATGACACTTTTGCCATTTTAGGGGGAAAATCTGTCTGCTCAAATTATACTATTTTTTTATTTTCTTCTTGCTTTTGGTGCAATGATGGAGGGGAAAAGACAATAATTTCCTAACATCACAACCAGGCACGAACCTTTTGACACCTCGTGCATCGGAAGAAATTATCACAGGTAAATTTATTGATTAATCATAAATTAGTTTTTATGAAAATAATTTAATTAATATTTATTTTATGATAAATAATTTAATAATTAATGTGGTTTTGTATTTGTTATTAATTTGCTGAACTTGTTCAATTTTCCTTAGCAAGGCATCGATGCCTTTTCAATTTAGTTTTTTTTTCTAAAACTACTTTCTTTTATTATCAAATTTTCATAGTTTAACTATTATTTTCTCTTTTTAATGCTAGCTTTCAACAAATAAAAACATTGAAATTAGAAAAAAAAAATTGAAACAAATAACAAGAATTTGAATAATCATCAACATTACAGGTTGAAATTACCCTGAATGAGATGGCATCTAGATTTTAATCAAAATCAAAGATTTTATATATCCTTTTCCTAATATAATACTTCATGTTCGAACAAAAATCTGCATATGTTTAGCAAGGGGAAATACTATATGTGTGCTAGAAAGAAAAAACATAACTCAATTAAAGTGTCGCGTGAGTTAGATAATATATATAAGACTTATTATATTTGCTTTAACATTGGATATCAACTCAATAATTCAATAATATCAAATTTAATATAAAACAAGTTTTATATTAAATTGAGTTGAAAGTTGATTGAATTAACCTAACATATCAATTTACAGCTCGATTAAAATTTGAGTAAAATTTTATTTAATTTTTAAATATTTTTTCAGAGCTATATCATTTTAAACTTTTAAAAAACTTAAAACTCGATATAGGTTTTGTAATTATAAATATATCAAAAAAAGAAGAAAGAACGGCAACCTTTATATTCATCACTCCTTGATTCTTTTCCTTTTTTTTTCCATTTAAAATGAGGTGGTGTTAATTGATAAGCCAATGAGTGAACCACAACCAAAGAGGGCAAAAGCTTGACAAGCAGACATGCCACGGAGGAGTTGACGAGGCAAAGAGGATCACTTGCTTACGTGAACTTGTTCCAAAAGATATATATATATATATATATATATATATATATATATATATATATATAACAAGGTTATCAAGATCTTATAACATGAATTACCAATTTGACAGATTAATCTAAGTAAATCCAAGTTGATCCAAATAAATCATAGTTAATTCAATATGTGAATCTTAATATTTTTTTTAAATATTGTTTTGAATTTTTTTAGCTAAAATATATTTTTATCAGTCATTTAGATTATTTTTGGACCTACAATGATCAGATATGTCATATAATGTCAACCTCTATATAATTTATTTTTTCTATTAAAATACATGTTAATAACATTAACATCTGAATATTTTTTTTTATTTAACAAAATTTTGATCTAACTCACGGTATAGTACGGATAATTACCTAATTCTTTACTAAAAGATGTTATATTTATCGTACTTTTTATTTTAACTTTTGCCAATTACGATTTATTTATTTATCTTATACTTTTTAAATGATATTAAAATATTTTATAACTTGAAAGTGAAATTGAAATTCATATATGCTTGTCTTCTTATCATTCTTAATGGAAAAGGAGGATAGTGAAAAAATTGAGAAAAAAAAACATATTTAAAAAGTATGGAATCTAATTAAAATAAAGCAAATTGAAATTGAAACAACACAAAAAAAGCTTGCAGGAAATTGAAATTATCCAAAATAAAAGCAGATTTTATAAAGATAGAGACTTGAGCACCTCCATCGAAACTCAACCAAAAAGTGAATGCATTGTGAAAATCTAACCAATGTAAGCAATCTAATGGTAGGCATTACCGTTATAAGACTTGTATTGCCATGTTAGTTGATTTGAGACGACTTCAACTAATTTGAGTTAAAGAAAACATGGAAAAAAAAATTCAATTGACCTGATTACGGTTGGAGTTAATTTGATTTGACTCAATTCTATTTTATTTATTTTAAAAAAATTAAAATAATATTATTTTAATTAATTTTTTTTTTTTGAAGCTATCCCTCCTAGACTATAACCTACTTGGGTATTTAAGCTATAGCAGCCATGATTGACATCTATCCCTCCTAGACTATAACCTACTTGGGCATTTAAGCTATAGCAGCCATGATTGACATGGAGATGACAGCGATGTAGACCATTTTAATGAATGCAATGGAGTCAAGTGATTTTAATTTCTTTGTATCATGAGATTGCATTATTGAGAGAAAAGGATTTGAGACCATAAGAACTGAGTTTTGTGTTAAGGCTTCACATTAACAAAGCTAAGAACTTAAGAATTGAAGAGAGAATTAAAAGAAGAAAAGAAAATGAGGGAGAAGTAAAAGGGGGGGAGAGAATTAACATCTTACTCTCTAGAAAGATTACCTTTTATTGCCTATTCTCCGAGTATTACACAATTTATTTTTGCATACTACGCTAGCTAACTTCTTGACCATCTAACAAATTTTTAACTGACCTGTAATTACATGGAACCATTAACAATCAGAAATTAACCTTAATAATTGCTTCTATTGTCATTAACAATCACATGTTAAAATTAACCTTAATAAATGCTTCTATTGTCGCACTAGTTATTAAACTACTGCTCATGTCAGTAACCTTTAAACCTTTGATGTATCATTTTGATTTTTGTGTTTTTCTTTGACTGTTAACCTCAGCCCCGAGCATGACCTAAAAAGAACTACATCACACAAGTTGGTTTAAATCAACCAATTTTTTTTTTTTAAATATTTAAGGTATTAAACTTCATTATTTTAAGAAATCCGTGTATATTAAAATAATGAAGTTTAATGCCCTTCTATCAAAGTTCATATTCTTTTATTTATTTTTAATTTAACCCTCATTCTTTTGATTTTTTTCTTGACAGTTTTTTTCTTTTCAATTTAACCCTCCAATTTAAAAAAATTTATGCCCTAATTATAGGGACAAATTGAAAAATTATAAAGCATGTAAGACACATTCTAGCTCTAAACAATAATGAAAGGCGATATAAAAGGTCATGTTACATGGCACCATGCTCTGATAGTTGTATTGATGCTATAGCACAAGGCTTGTTGTGATCGATACATAAAGTAATCAATTATTGCAAATGGATACATTTATTTCAAGCTCTCAACTCATTTCAACTAAACATGCAACACCTTTACTTCTAATAAAGACTCAAGAAAGCACCAAATCAAGTAGCTGATACCAAATTGAGACAGAGACGTGCCAGGTCAACCTTTGGATGCACCAGGTTAATGGCGTTTTTTCCCAGTAGCTACTTCTCAACCTTGTAAAATGTGGTTCACAATTTCCTCTATGCCAAGTCCATGCTTCACCTGCAGGTACATTATGAACAACAAAGGAAATAACCGCAACTTTAAAAGAAGGGTTATAGACATAATTTGTCTCGCTATATAAAGCGCGGCCCACAGCCTGGCAGACCAAAGAATTAAATTGTTCAAGAACCAAAAATATAAGAAGATGACAAGTCCACAAGCATTAGTGTTAACAAGCATTGAATAGATGGATAGGGCAGTGTCTCTGTAACTAAAGGATAGCCTAAACATAAGCCATAAGCGGACGAGAGAACTGTGAAATAACCATCATAAGAGGAAAAAGGCTAGATTCCATAAACAACAGCAGAAAAAAGGAAAGAATATCTTATTGAGGCAGAGCTATTTGTTTCACTAAACATGCCATGACCAATCAGAAGTGGAATGTCCAGCTGTTCACCAGGATGGAAATATACGGATTATGTATATTTCCAAACAAAACAGTAAAATAGATCAATTCATTGTGCATAAATCTGCATAACATTTCTCGTAAGCCTGCATGTTATATGGCAATTGTGATTCACCTATTATGTTGTGTGCGTGCATGAGTGTGTAGACTAGACTTAAAGCCCCAAAAGGCACCATTATAGACCCCCTTTTGACTGTGCAGATGTCATTCTTTTTTAGTAGAAGCGGTGAGGCAGTGTTATGTGCTAGTGATGCTGCATTGTAGGAAGCAACAAAGAAAGGCATGGGAGGAGGAGCGGACAATCTGGACAGGGGATAACATGGTCAAGGGTGAAGACTTGAGCATTGTATAGGGTGGCAACCCTAATTCATTCTGGGGTGCTCCATGAATACTCTAGAGACATGCCCCAATCAGATGGTCGCACATGCAATCCCTCAGCATTGGAGAGACTTGGTGATGGTACCCTCCATTGCTCAAGTTGACCCCTGCCACAACATTCTCAGCTGTCAACACTGTTTACACCATCTCCAACTCTCTCTATTGCATTCTTTCCTGTACTACAACATCACAAGCATACAACAATGCCTCCCTGCTTCTACTTAGAAAGACCCTGTATCACAAGCATGTGGTCTGGCACTTCAAACACAAACTAGGTTGGTGAAATTTGGCATGTTCTTAAGATTCTATCTGTTTGTACTGTTTCTTTTCTTTTCTTTTCTTAGGATGGATCTCCTAATTCAGATCTTTCCTTTTCTTAAAATTGATCTCCTATTCCATCTTGTATCTTCCAAAGCTTTAGACAACAAATTACAAGACTGTCACGAGCTCGCCATAAACAAATGCAATCAAACATGAGAAACAGAGTGCTAAACTGACCTGAGCAAAAACAAATGGCCCTCCATCCCGCATTCTAAGTGCATCACGCTCCATGACAACTAAATCAGCTCCAACTGCTGGTGCAAGGTCAGTCTTGTTGATAACCTAGGATTGTACACAATTAACTCGGACTTCCTGGTAATTTTACATTTCTAAACTTGGCCAACAAGATTGATTATGAGAGATTGGGAACAGAAGAAGCAGCTATGAGAATGAGAAAAAATACAAGGAGATCAGCTTGGGTGATGCCTGGGCCACCTTTCCGAGGAATTTTATCACTGCCAGATACATCTATTATATAGATGATATAGTCAGCCAGTTCCCTGCTGAAGTTGGCAGCCAAATTATCTGCACCATACAAGTTCAAGTAGAGGATTTACTTTTCTGATCAATACATAAGTGTATACAAATAAATTTGTAAGGCAGCAGTACTCTTCTTACTAAAACTCATCCGTCAACATGTTAGAAATAGAACTGCCAAAATTCTTCATCACTATCTAACTTCTGATATCCTAACACGAATAAAAACCACTTGCCTGGAGTAGTATACAATAAAATTAACTTTGATGTTCAGCGATCATCAATTTAATATCAGTTTACAGCCACTTAAATATGTATGGTGGTATTCAGTACTGAGTTACCTCCACCAGATTCACAAAGAAGAAGGTCTGCTTTGAACAAGTTAGAAAGCTCCTCGAGAGGGCCAAGCTTAATGCTGATATCTTCACAAATTGCAGCGTGTGGGCAGCCTCCAGTTTTAACAGCATGGATCCCCTCCTCAGGAAGTGCTCCATGCTTAATCAAGAACTCACCATCCTCTTTTGTGAATATGTCATTTGTTACCTAAAACAAGAGTATAGCTCTTCAGCATTTAATCAATCTACATGACCATGCATTTAAAACGATTAATGATAGAAGAGAACACAAATTATGCCTCATCTGAAAATTTTAGGTGAAAAGCTCTTAGTTGAGCCTGCGTTATATTCTTCTGAAATTTTAGGCAAAAAGCTTTTGGTATAGCAACTTTGAGCCACAGGTATGAGGATCATTTGCAGAGATTAATAGCTGTTTACGAATTAATGTTCTATATATCACCATAAACAAAAGAACAATGAACTCCTTTCAGGGCTAGGCTGCAGCTGCTAATTTGTTGCTTGAGATAAAACAGGGTTCATTAAGCTGGAACGTTTACGTTTAACAAGTTTGACATTCATAATAATCAATAACTTCAAAATCAAATTCAACAAAAAATAAATCTCAAGAACAATTAGCAAAAAAAAAAATCTCAAAATCCCATCTTAGATTATTACTCACAGCAGCAAGACTGTACTTGTCCCGCAATAATTTACACAAAGATAGCATCAAAGCTGTTTTCCTGACCACTACAAAACATAATATTCAATCAGCGATTAACACCTAGAATTAAGTGTAAAAAAAAATAGAAGGGAAGATAGAGAGATACCCAGTACCAACAGGGCCACCAATACCAACAGGGAAAGCTCTTTCATTGAAATCCCTTGTAAGGATTGGTTGTGCTCTCCTGCTAAAGTAGCCAGGAGAGTATATGGGCTCATGTGAATGTGGTGCTAGTCCATCATGGCTATGGTATACCCTCCCATCTGGGCCTACCCTTGATGATGCTTTCCTGCTCAATTATCAAGAATCACACTTGTATAAATATATATTTCAAACCATGAAAAAAACAAGAACAAATGGAATGAAGTGGAGATAAGAATCTTACTCATCATGGGTATGGTTATGCTGATGGTGGTGGTGATCATGGTCATGATGGTGGTGGTCGTGGGTATGGTGATCTTGTGAAGCCATTGACTGAAGTCTGCAAAAGAGTTCGCTGTAGTTGACTAGTGAGGGTACAATATGTAAAACAAGAACACAGGAAATGAACCTCGGTGCTGACAGCTGAGGCACATGGATGGCAATGACAGTGCTAGAGTGTTTAAAAATGATTTTTAAAATTTTTAATTTTTTTTAAATTAATGTTTTTTTTATAATTTTAGATTGTTTTGATTTTAATTTGTTGATATTAAAAATAAATTTTAACAAAATATTATTTTAATATATTTGGTTTCGGGTCTGGATGCACAACTGGGTGTCACTTTCGACTTTGTTTGCAGCTTCCAATTAAACGATTGCAGGAAAAAGTTTGTGGAGGGGGAGAGAGAAGCCATAGTTTTTTCTTTTCTGGGACCATATCACAGCAGCAGCAACAGAGAAAGCAAGATTGTAAAAGCAGAATGAGAGACATCTATATCAGAAAGGTAATGTGACAAAAGCTATCAAACATCAAAATCTCATCACAACAAATTAAGATGTCTTAATATTATATATTCCACTTTGTTCCACAAGTTCAGTGAGCTTCAGAGGCAGTATGACATAAACATGTTTGTGTCCATGAACTGACCCGGTAAATAAGTACTGCATACAAGAAAATATGCAGGAATAGAAATTTATACAGCAGCTTCAAAATCATTTCTTTAAAATAGAAAAAGAATTTAGTGAACATGTATTTAGAGCAATTTTACAGCAGCTTCAAAATAGAAAAAAGGGAACGCAAGAACTTGCATTTAGAGCAACTTTACAGCAATGACTCATGCCATGGAAGTATGAGTGCTGAAAAATAAGCTAGCTAGCCCTCTTGTTGTCCAAAACAGATATTTGATGAATGCCAAAAGGTTATGGTAGAAAATCCATAACATAAAATTCAATTTTTTTAAAACAATCTCCCCTCCACTTAAAGACACAAGAAATAAAGCGTGGATACATGAAATTTCAAAAAATGCTCTTCTTCTCATATAAAATTCTTCTTCGCTATTATAATTTTTTTCTCTGTTCTGACACAAAGCCTGAAGCTTAAAGACATTGTCACTCAACCTATAAACCCTAAGACATCGTTTTAAACAACCCAACTATACAGCAGAGCTACTATGCTATTCTCCTTTACAAGCATCACGAAGCCTCACCATACTTGCACAAGCAAACATGCATCAGGCATCATACGGCAAGCAATCTGGTTCGAACAGGTTAGGTTTCTAATTCCACAACGAAACATAAGTGTGGAGAACAACCTAATTAATGATCACGTAACAACCAAACAAACAGACTTTCCACAACATTCACGTCGACGCAGATAAGCAGCAGAGGCAGAAGTGGGGAAATACATTAGCGCCAACGTTGTTTCAAATTCGCACACAAGCAGCCTCTCAAAAACCTTAAAACCACTATCTTACCAATAAAAGACTCGACCAAACCACGTTACTGCATTAATTCCCCATGCTTACACATACAAACATGGCTCACCTTGATAAATCCTCAAACATTTAATCAAAATGCAGACCAAAAAAGAATTGCCAAATAAACAAACCCTAATTTCGCTTCAAACACGCATAATTTTCAAAAACTCAACATTGCAACCAAGTTCTACGGTTTCCAGAGTAGAAGCAGAATAACTCAAAAGGTAAAGCAATAATCACCTGAATTACGAAATTAATAAGCTAGGGAACGGCTTTGAGGCAATTAGTGACGACCTAATTGCACATTTTCTCTCTCCAAGGGTTTTTTCTTTTTTGGGAAGTCACAAAAAGGAAATGAGATTTGCCCTGAAAGATAACAACTCGTTGGAAATGTTAGCCATGAGAGCGAGCGATTCTGCTTCAAGAGTCACTCCGTCTATAAATCTGTTCTCCATGTTGTTTTTTTCTCGTTTTAATTTTTATTTTTTTTCTTCGTATTCATGTGTGCGCTTGTTTTTATCTTTTCGAAATAGAAGACGGGACTACGCGAGACCTCTCCCTCTCCCTCTCACGTAGTTTTACATTTCAAAATTGTTTTTTTAAAAAAACTAAATTTTTTTATTTTTTATTTTAAATTAATATTTTTCTAAAAGTTATTTTTAAAAATAAAAAATATTATTTTAATATATTTTCAAATAAAAAACATTTTAAAAAATAATTTCAACCATATTTTTAAATACGACCGTAAAGGATTTAGTTATTAAATAAAAAAAACTCCTTGCAAACTATTAAAATATTTTTTATTTTTTATTTTTTTAATATTATTAAGAATTAAACTTTATCATTATTTTTAATTTATTTTTATATAGTTATTTTATTTTCATGATCAAAATAATTGATTTAACAAGCCAATTCAATTTTTTTCTCATTTTCTAATTGATTTAACAAGCCAATTCAATTTTTTTTCTCATTTTCTAATTTTTTTTTAATTTTATCTTTTAATATTTGATTGATTAGAAATTAGATTTTGTGATTTATTTTTATTTGTTTTATATAAATTTCTCCATATCTCGTAACTGAGTCACGAATTTGATAAATTAACTTGAATTTTAATTTTATAATTTAACGTTAGATTTATTGGAGATTGAACTTTATATTTTTTTCAATTTACTTTTTATGAGATTATATCAGTCTAATTACTCGGATTGCGGGTTTAACAAATTAACTCAGTGGACTTGAGTTTTTTTATTCTTCTAATTGACTTTTGTTCTCAATTTAATTTTTAATATTAGGTTAATTGAAAATTAGGCTTTTAAATTTATTTTTTAATTTATTTTTATAAGGTTATTTATGTCTCATGACTCAAATTACGGGTTTGACGGTTAATCCGAGTTAACCGAAACCTTTTTTGATCTTTTTTAATTAATTTTTTAGTTTTAATTTCATCATTGAACATTAAAATTTTATTAGAATTGAGTTTTATAATTTTTTTATAAGATTATTCCAATCAATGACTTAGATCTTGAGTTTGACAAGTTAATTCGATTACCTCAATTTTTCTAATTAACTTTTTCTTATTAATTTTATCATTTAATACTAAATTAATTAGAAATTAAACTTCATGATTTATTTTAATTTATTTTATAAATTTATTCTTATTTTATAATTCAAGTCATAAAAAATTTATTTTAATTTATTTTATAAGTTTATTCTTATTTTATAATTCAAAGTCATAAGTTTGACAAATCAATTTAAATTGACTTTAATCCAGATCCAAGTTATTTTTTTTTATATCTTTTATTAATCAATTTCTTAGTTTCAAATATATTCCTCAACATTAAATTTATTAGAGATAAAATTTTATAATTTTTTTTTCAAATTAATTTTATAAAATTATCAGAATCACAGGATACATTTCAGGCTGATGATTACCAACACAAACAAGTTCTATAAAAAGTGAGGGTTCATGTTGATTTTGGTCGACTTCCAAAAAACCTGCTAACTAGTGCAGCGGTCCTCTTAGATTCTTGTGAGAATGTCTTCCCAACTTGTCTTCTATTGTGTTTAAAAAAACATTTAGGTACGCAGACAAGCACAATCTCTGGTTCTCTCACAAAACTCGTGTACGTCCTCTCCTCTGTTGTCTATCTCATAGCAATTTAATAGTTAGGTATCAACTCCTGAGATCGCATCTAACTCAAGCAGTCTACATTAACTTCGGAATCTTACCCTTCTCTTTCTTTCTTCAAAATCAGTGTACATTACTGACAAAATGCTTACTAATGGAACTTTTTTTGTTTATTTTTTTGTTGAGCAGAATCTGCAGATGCACACACAAAAATTGTATCACATGCGAACAGATTATGGACATGAACACGGGATACAAAGAGAGCGATTCCCATCAAAAATCAGGTTTCTTCTTCTGAGACCGAGTCACCTCAACTGATCCAAGAAGGTTTCGGAGCTCCTTCGCATGGCTAGTCATCCCCTTAATGGAATAAGCTTTAATCATTGTTCTATATGTAACCTTATCAGGCTTACAACCTTTCTCCTCCATCAACTCAAGCACTTCTTTCATCTCTGCAAAGCATTCCAGCCTACCATATGCATCCACTAAACAATTAAAAAACACAGTATCCAAAGTTACATCTGAATTATCAATGAAACGAAGAACACTCCTGATTTTCTCAGGTTTCCCAGCTTCCCGATAAGCTCGCACTAGAGAGCAAAGTGTAACACAACTTGGCTTGATCCTCTCTGACCGCATTAGCCTAAACAAATACTCCATCTGTTTTAAATCCCCTGCTCGTCCAAATGCATCTATCACCACATTGTACGTAACAATGGTCCACGAGTAGTGGTATCTTTGCATGTATTCCATGACCGCACTCATTTTCTGGTAGTTTCCAGCTTTTCCATAAGAATCCAAGAGAATGTTGAATGTCTTAATATTGGGTTCAATCCCAGCACTCTGAAACTTCTCATAACAATTCTCCATCATTTCCATTTGTCCGCTGCCACCAAAGGCTCTGATTGTTGAGTTCATGGTCCAAACATCAGGCTCACAATCCTGCTGACTCAACATCTCCATTAGTGTTGCTTCCATCTCTGCAAACCTTTTAGAAAGTAGAAATAATGAGTTGCATCTCCACAATGGAGCAGTAATATCACGCTCCATCTGGTTGCCAAAAACACCAAAACCAATTGCTTCCCATATGGATTAGGTGACAAATGCATGAAAGATAAACAAAACCTGCAAAAAATAGCAGCAAAGGTAGCATTGAAGACAATTGCGAAAGAGGGTGCAACACAGAGCTGGAGACAATGGGTAACAACCGTTCAATTATCAGGTGCAAAGTGCCTGCCTTTCTCCTCCCATCTAAAGGAACTCAAATATCCTGAAAAAGTGAGGCAATATTTTTTCCCTGCACTTTGCTTTGATGCTTTCAGTGGACTGGCTCATGGTAAGTTAAAATCAATACTCTTTTCCCATTGCATTCTTGGCAACCAGATGGAGCATCAAAAAACTTAAAGGTACCAAACAGGGTAGCTGAGTTACATTTTTGCTTTGCCATAGGCATCAATGAGAGTATTGTACGTGACTGTGTTGGGTCTGATTCCCAAAGATTCCATGTCAGAAAGCAGCACCTGCACTTTGTCAAAGGCAAAAACTTGGAGGCAGGATTTTATAAGGATTGAATAAGTGTGGACATCAGGTCGGCAATCAGGAGTGTTTTTCATTTCCTCCATAATAGAAAATGCTTTGTCAAAGAGACCACTTCTTCCATAGGCAGACAAAAGAGCCGTGTAGGATTCATGAGTCACAGCACAGCCTTCATCAATCATAGCTTGAAATAGTTGGTGGGCCTTGTCTGGTTGTTTACACTTTCCGAGCATGACAATGAGTTTGACATACATACCAGCATAAGGCCTGTACCATAGCTGCTCTCGAAGTAGTTCAAAAACCTGACCATAATCATCAAGTCCTCTACTTTACTGTGATTGTAGTTCAAACACTAAGAGTAAATATGTTCAACTGGACAAATCACTTTGAAAATAGTTCCATGCCCAAGCACACATATTTTATACAAGAAGGGCAATGGAGGATCAAAAATACAGTTTAGATGGCAATGTAATAAATTCCATGAAACATACAAGCTAAATAAAATTCTCTATGACACAAAAAAGCATAGCCTAGTGGCTTGGTTGACACAAAAAAGCATAGCCTAGTGGCTTGTGTACCCAGTAAAATTTAAAGGTTCCAGCCTCAGTGACTCCAGTTTATTTGGGGGGGGGCACATCTAGCCTAAGACTCAATGGACCTCCCAAGACCACAAAAAATCTCAATAAATAAAAAAAGGCAGAAGACCACAAAATAAATAAATAAACTGAAAGGATAGACCCACCAACCTCGAGAGCAGAAGCCCAGCGCAATGCGGTGATTCTTTCATGAAGAGCTTCAAGGACAGTTTGTGGAAGCAACTTCTTTGAATTAGTAGGACCTCTTTTCTTCTCAATTACAGCTTTAGTAGCCTCTCTTCGCAGAATCACAGATATCGCCTTCTGTGACGCAATTTTCCTGTTAACCTCTTCTTTTCTCTCTTTCTCTTCTTTCTTCTTCAGCTTTTCCCACTCTATTTCCCTTCTCGTCATCTCTCCTCTCTCACTCCTACCTATAGCAACATTATTGTTTGTGGAAGAAGAAGGGAAATTGGATTTGGTTTCGGGTCTGGATGCACAACTCGGTGTCACTTTCAACTTTGTTTGCAGCTTCCAATTAAACGATTGCTGGAACAAGTTTGTGGAAGGGGACAGAGAAGCCATAGTTTTTTTTCCTTTTCTGGGATCATATCACAGCAGCAGCGACAACAGAGAAAGTGAGATTGTAAAAGCATAATGAAAGACATCTATATCAGAAAGGTAACGTGACAAAAGCTATCAAACATCAACATCTCATCACAACAAATTAAGATGTGTTAATATTATATATTCCACCGTTGTTCCACAAGCTCGATGAGCTTCGGAGGCAGAGTATGGCATCAACATGCTTGTGTCCATTGACCCAGTGAATAAGCACTGCATACAAGAAAATATGCAGGAAAAGAAATTTATGCAGCAGCTTCAGAATTATTTCTCCAAAATAGAAAAAGAATAGCGTAAGCATGCATTTAGATCAATTTTACAGCAGCTTCAAAATTATGTCTTCAAAATAAGAAAAAGGAACAAAAGAACTTGCATTTAGAGCAACTTAACAGCAATGCATCACACATTGGAAACATGAGTGCTGAGAAACCATGCTAGACAAAGGTGTAAAATTGAGAAGACATTTAATCAAAACACGGAACAAAAAAAGATTGCCCCGAACAAACAAACCCTAATTTCGCTTCAATCACGCCT